GCAAAAGGTGACTTACCTGTCATTGGCTGTTTGGAAGCTATGGCTGCCCATCACAAAACAAAAAACCAAAGAATCAAAACAACAAAGTCCCAGCATTATTCTACATAGTTAAAACGGGATCTCCACTTCTTGGACTAGACCTGATTAAAGCACTCGAGATCAATATCACTGAAGGCAAAGTGATCTACGCACAAAAGGATAATGAAAAAGAACTCTCTACTGAGACACAACCAGACATGGTGAACAGTGTTACTCCTGCTTCTACTCAACAATGGGGATGTGTAAAAGGGTTCATCCACAAGGTTCAAATAAACAATACAGTGCAACCAGTACGTCAAAAACGGAGACGTCTACCACTCAGCGTCCGTGAAGAGGTATGAGCAAAACTGAAGCACTTACTCCAAGCAGGCATCATCGAATCAGTGGACGCTTCTGAACGGGTGAGTTCACTGGTAGTGGCACGTAGACAGAAAGGTGATTTGAGGCTTTGTGTTGATCTTCGTGAACCTAATAAGAGTGTGATAATGGACTGCCACCCTCTTCCTCACATGGAGGATCTGTTCACAAAGCTGGCGGGTGCTACACATTTTAGCCAGATTGACTTAAGCTCAGCTTACCATCAGTTACCTCTCCATCCAGAGAGCAGAAGCCTTACTGCTTTTATAACGCATGAAGGGCTCTTTCAGTACACACGAGTTCCTTTTGGATTGGCTTCAGCACCATCTGCCTTTCAAAAAATGATGCACACAGTCTTGAAAGAGTTACCAGGAGTAGAGTACTATCTGGATGATATTGTAGTGTATGGACATTCCAAGGAAAAACATGATGAACACCTGCAAGCTGTTCTTCAATGGCTTAAAGATGTCAGTCTGCAGATCAACTTTGAGAAGAGTTTGTTTGGCCAGTCAAGCATCCCATTTCTGGGACATGTCATCTCCAAAGAGGGTCTGCGCCCTAGCCCAGAACACTTAACTGCTATTGCAGAAGCTCCTCCTCCGAAAGACAGAGCAGCTCTCCATTCCTTCCTGGGCTTGACAGCCTGGTTCCGCAAGTTCCTACCAAGCTATGCAACAGTAGTAGAGCCACTACGCGAACTACTGAGAACACATGCACAAGCTGAACTAAGCTGGACTGATGCAGCAAATAAGAGTTTCAGTGACCTAACGGAAATGCTCTTGAAAACTCCAGCACTAGCCATTTTCAACCTTGAATTTCCGACACTCACTACAGATGCCTCAGACTATGGACTGGGTGCTGTTTTGACACAAATGCACTCAGACAATGTGGAACGACCTGTTGCATTCACTTCCTGAACCCTGTCTGCGGCTGAAAGGAAATACTCCACAATAGAAAAAGAGGCTTTTGCATGTGTATGGGCAGTTGAAAGATGGAGGACATATGTGTGGGAATGGAGATTCACACTCAGGTTGGATCACCAAGCCCTCACCAATCTATTAAGTACTAAAGGGATGAACAGACGGAAATGCTCTTGAAAACTCCAGCACTAGCCATTTTCAACCTTGAATTTCCGACACTCACTACAGATGCCTCAGACTATGGACTGGGTGCTGTTTTGACACAAATGCACTCAGACAATGTGGAACGACCTGTTGCATTCACTTCCTGAACCCTGTCTGCGGCTGAAAGGAAATACTCCACAATAGAAAAAGAGGCTCTTGCGTGTGTATGGGCAGTTGAAAGATGGAGGACATATGTGTGGGAATGGAGATTCACACTCAGGTTGGATCACCAAGCCATCACCAATCTATTAAGTACTAAAGGGATGAACAGAGCGGGCATGAGAATCGCACGTTGGTCAGCCAGACTTATGTGCTTTTGTTGAACGTGTTCACGTAAATTGAAAAGAAAAGACTAAATATAAAGATATTTCACAGTGTGAAATTTATTATGCATTAACGTATCAAAATAAGCATGTGCACATGGATCCCATCTGTTTATGATAAACAGAAAAGACTAAATTCAACTTAGCAGTACACAACATTTATATGAAAGAATGTTGCTCTCTGATTGGTCCAAAAACTGTTGGGGAGGAATTGTGGTTTAAACTTAATTCTCCCAAGATTGGTCCTTCAGTCCGTCCATCCTCCAGTCATCCTCTCTGATCCAATGGTTGTAGATAACACCCTAAAAAGGGAGGAATACTTGCCCTGTCTTAATTCTTACATAGACACCTATCCTTTCTTTGTTACCAAGAGACACATGGCACTAACCCCCCCTGTTCAGAATTGACAACACTGCGACAGACCATTCGTGCAGGTTGGCCGAAAGTGAAAAAGTCTCTTCCAGAAGATGTGACACCTTACTTCCTGGTACATCAAGAACTGGCTACAGAGACCCCATTGATATTCAAAGGAAACCACCTGGTAGTTCCTAAATCTCTAAGAGAAAGGGTTGTACACCTTGCCCATGAAGGACATCAGGGCATAGTGTGTACCAAACAACGCCTTCGAGAATTCTACTGGTGGCCACACATGGATGACCTTGTTCACATGACCCTGTCATCATGCGCGACCTGTCGGGCATGTGACAAAATGGCCAGTGTTTCGCCTGGTCCCCTGCAACCAGTAAAGTTCCCAGAGGGTCCGTTTCAACATGTGGCTATTGACATTGTGGGTCCATTTGAGCCTGGAACCTACGACTGCAGGTTTGCCATAACACTAGTTGACTACTTCAGTAAATGGCCGGAAGTGGCATTCACTCCCACGTCTACAACTGCAATGGTCCTGACATTCCTGAATACTGTGTTTGCACATGAGGGAAATCCTTGTACCATAACGACTGATAATGGTCCTCAGGTTACGTCTTCGGCCTTCGCTGACTTACTGAAAGAACGTGGCATTACACACATTAAAACAAGTGTGTATCATCCTCAGGCTAATGGGTGTGTGGAACGCTTTACCAGAGTGTTAGAGGAGGCTATTCAAACAGCGCAAGCTACTCAACAACCCTGGAAGCTTGTAGTGACTGACATGCTCCATTGCTACCGAGCTACACTTCACGCCACAACTGGGGAAACCCCTTTCCAGCTCCTCAGAGGTAGACCAATGAGGACAAAACTCAACGTCCTACCTCCTGCTAAGGACAAAGGACAGTATGTTCATGTCAAGGCTAGAGTTGCTCGGCAACAGACCAAGAGTGCGCTTTACACGAACAAAAGGTGTCATGATTCGGTTCCGCTGCTTCCTGTTCGGCTTTTATTTTGACGTTACTTCCTGTTTTTGTTTTACCTTAATTTCGGTCTTTTTGCGTTCTTCATCACTCACATTGGTTTCACCTGTTTTGTTATTGTTTGCACCTCTATTTAGGCAGCGTCCTCCCACCAGGACGCTGCCAGATTGTCCTAGACCCCAGCTCTGACTTTCCAGCATTTTCTTCGGTTTTGGTATTTTGTGTTTCTGACCTGGACTGTTACCTTGGTATATCCGTTTCTGCTTTGCCCTCTTGTCTCAGACTGCCACAGTGTATGATATCGGACTTCCCTCTGGACTACGTATTTTGGATCACCTCTGTTGGATGTGTTTGCTGGCTCTGACCTCGGACTGTTAAGGACATGTGAGTTTTGTGTTTTCACCGTGTCTTGTATGGTTTCCTTTTGTTAGTTAGTTCTCTTAATAAAGAGACGGTTTTGTTTTACACTTCCTCGTCTGGCCATTTAATTGAGTTCACCTAACACTTTTCGGCCACATTACGCGCGCCGTTTCTGACAAAAGGAGACATGCAAAACTGACCAAGATCACTGTTGGAGCTACTGTCAGGGTGCGAAAACTTTTTCAGGTGGGCAAAGGAGAGATGCAATACAGCGATCCATTGTCGGTACAGCAGCAGACTGGTTTGAGCTCCTTCTATTCTCAGTGATGGGAAAAGATGGAATGTAGCATGCTTTTCGGCTTGCCCAGTGTACCCAGAGGAAACACAGAGGGTAGAGAGAGGAGAAGGAAATCTTGAACAAACACAGACACTGACACGACCTCTACTGAAAAGGAAAAGACAACCACCTCCTTGGAAAAAAGATTATGTGATGAAATGAGTTCATGTAGTAGTAAGCATGGCCCCGTCATTCTTTTGATCTGTGTTAGTATTTTTTGTCTCCTTCTCTCCAGCTGCTTAGATTCATTCCCTCCTCGCTTCAGTTGCTCCTTCAGACCACGGACCTCCTCCGCTCTACTTCATCACCACCCTGCAGGTTGATGCACAGTCTACTACTTACCGTATGTACTATTTCTGTTCATCTTCAGTAACATCCAACTCGACCAGTCCAGGAGTGAGTCCCAGTGTCCGCAGCCCGGTCCTCTCCTCATCATCTCCACCATTGACTGTGTTACCCTCTGAAGCTCGACACCCGGTCCTATTGCTACTCTACTGTTCATTTCTTGTCACTTATTTAACACTGTAAATAAACTAGCACTGCCTGCATCGAAGTCAGCCACCTGGGTCCGTCAATTCTTGTGACTCGTTCACTTCTGTGTTCAAGTCATCCTAACAAGTAGTACTGTTTATGACATTACAGATGTTACGAAATTTATATTCTAAGGTTAATATACTATTGACATGCGAAGTCCTGTTGCTACAGTTTTGTTATAGTCTTACTAAGTGCGAAACGATTCAGGAAAAGGGGAAATGTTGTGTTCATGCTTGCAATAGCATATAGCTGTAGTTACCTTGAGCACCAGAGGTGTCGCTGGGGAGTGCAGGTTGACAGAGAAAAAAAAAAGAGAAGTAGGATGGAGAGACAGGGTAGAGGAGAAGTATGCATGCAGATATGTCGATGGTGAATAAAGCGACATAAAAGTACCGCGTCTCCTACGTAAGTCCTTCGCCATAACAGACCTTATTTAACAAAAATGCAGAGGAGGGCTGCTTCTCTTGGTAGCCCTCTCTGAGCAAAGGTAAAGCTCGACAGAGCTCTGCCACCAGAAGGAGAGCGATGTCAGAGGAGGACACCTCTTTCTATAAATCACTGTGTTGTGGATAGTTTTACTATGGAGTTACTCAACCCAGATCTTGAGAAAAACATCACTTTTGTGCATCCTGCTTATTTTATAATAAGTGGATTTATTGGCATACCTGATATGAAGTATTATTATGTCTTTCTCTTTGTTGTTTACATTGTTTCAGTGCTGGGAAACACAGCTGTGATGTTAATATGTTTGGATCATAAGCTAAGAACTCCAAAATATATTGTGGTGTTTAATTTAGCATTTGCAGACCTGGTTGGTAGCTCTGCTTTGGTGCCAAAAGTATTTGACATTTTTCTGTTTGACCATCGCAACATTCCTTACAATGAATGCTTTACATTTATGTTTTTCTGTTACACCTTCCTTGCAATGCAGCCTTTTAATCTGGTTGCCCTTGCCTATGACAGACTGATAGCCATCAGTTTCCCACTGCACTATCATGTGAAGGTCACCCACAGGTTCATGTTTTCTTTGATTGCCTCTTTCTGGCTCTTAATCATTAGTGTTGCACTCATTGCAGTTGCCCTTTTCACAAACCTTTCCTTCTGTAAATCTGTGGTTATTAACAGTTATTTCTGTGACTATGACTTGGTGCAGAATCTCGCCTGCAATGATTTCACACTCACCTGGATTGTTGGTTGTTTTCTATCAGTTCTTATTCTTTGGTTTCCACTGCTATTTATCTTGTCATGCTATTCATATATTGGCTATGCATTGTCTAAAGTAGCTGCAGTTAAAGAAAGAGTGAAGGCCTTTAAAACCTGCTCATCTCATCTTACACTGGTGGCAATCTATTTCCTCCCTGTAATGATCACATTAGCTATTCCTGGATCTATAGATCCAAATACCAGACTCATAAACATGTCACTGACCTCTGTCTTTCCTCCCATGTTGAATCCAATTGTTTATGTTTTGCAGACACAAGAAATCAAAGTATCTGTGAAGAAATTATTAAAAATCAGAAAGCAACCCAGAAACACTGTGAAGAAAGTAATTTTAAAATGATCATTTGTGTATATTCAGCGCCATCTCTTTAGGATATTGTTTATAATCCAGTAAAAGTTGGAGCAAAGTCTATAGAGCAACAGCTACAGCTTATTGTAAAGAGGACACTTTTGTAACATCCCACAAATGATTGAATATGAATTTATTCTATAAAACTGGGTTGTAGTGATTCATCTTGAGGTCAAGTAATTTAAAAGAACAATACTCAAAATAACTCTTATGGCCCTGTGGTATTAACTACACTCTACATTATGACAGGTACAACACACAATAACACTAGTATGTTGGGCTTGTGTCATATCTGCATGTGTATATACTGCAAACAAGTTATTGTGATTAAACAGTTTGTGTCTGTTCATATGTTCTGACTTTTTGACCGGTTGTCCTGATGGTCAGCTCTGACTCAGGAGCTAGAGTGAGTTTTCTTCTAACTGTAGGGTCGGCAGTTCAATCCTTGGGTTCTTCAGTCCACGTGTCAAAATGTCCTTGAGCAAGACTCTGAACCCCTGTTTGCTCCTGGTGATATTGGTGGTGTGTTAAAAGGTGAATAGTAAACACTGTAAAGTGCTTTGAGTGCACTTCAACATGTAGAAAAGTGCTTAACACAATTTCTGATTCGGTCTGCTATATACCAGTAAAACATTGACAAAGAGTCTTCATGCAGAGTTTTTCAACTCAGCTCTTGGACAAGACAAGTGTTAGTGTCTTTCTCTTTTTAATTCACATTATTTCAGTGCTTTTATGCCAAATGTCCTTGACACTTTTATAAATGTCCTTGACACTTTTATGTTTGACCATCCCTACATTCTCTACAACAACTGCTTGATATTCATGTTTTTCTGCCTCACTTGCCATTTGATGCAGGCTCTTAATCTGGTTGCACTATACAATGACAGACTGATAACTATCATCTTCCCACTGCACTAACAGGTTCCTGTTTTCTTTGATTGCCTTTTTCTGGCTCATTGCAGCTGGCCTTCTCAAGAGTTGTTCTGTATGTTTCTTGTTATTAACAGCTGTTTCTGTTACCATGGCCCAATAAACGAGCTTGTCTGCAATGATGTTACTCCCAACCATGCAGTTGGTAAGTTAATGCTTTGTCAACACTTTCCACAAGACAGGGAAGAGTGAAGGCCATTATTACTTGCACTGCTTACCTGTCAAAACAACCAAATTCATGTCATATTGATCTTGTAACCAGTCTATCATTTAAGTAACTATGATAATGGGTTCAAACTTGGTACAAAAAACAAGGACTAATAGACTGATGATTGTTGTCATTCGTCCATAATGATAATGGAAAGAAACAAGAGAAATATATGAGCAATGGAAGATCCTTCCTCTGTCTTCTTCTCTTAGCAATTGTGTACTTTCTTTCTATATTGTAATAGCAAAAATATTCATTGTAGGGGCACTATACATAAGTTGTCACTCAGTAGTCCGCTATTATGACTTAACAGCTTTTGTGCACTGAAGAAAGAACAACTTTGGTCCTGTAACCAACAGTAATTACATAGTGCAGTTTATTCACAGATGCATTCAATGTGCACAATAAATAGGGTAAAAACTGACTGTGGCTTGTAGGAATAGACTCTCTTGTATGTTGTCTGTCATTGTGATGGACAGGATCATAAAAATGCATAATCATCATAATCTATTACCCATCATTTTATTTCCCATTCTCTAATAAGACGTTTGATAGCATTTAATTTTTATTCAGTCATTTTCATTATTAATAATTAATATAAAGAACAGTATTGAGAGAAAAGATAAACAGTTACCGACCCTATTCTAAAGGTTTTTGGGACTGTTTAGCTGACTGTATAGACACTGATGTTTCAACTTTTCTGGAAGATAGTACACCCACCTGACATGTTAAAATATTCAGATGTTAGTACTGGGAAGACTGAAGTAAAGTATACTTGAAGTACAAGTATATTGAATAGAATGAGAATCCATAGTCTGCCACAGCTATATTAAAAGTACTAGATATCTACTCATGCATGTTAATACTTTTACCAGCATGTAATTTTTGCTTTTAAGCAATATTTCAAGTGCCTGTGGCATGCTCAGTACCAGCCATTCAGTGTTTAATTGTGGGTACCTCTGGATTAGGTTTGCACTCATCATAACTCCAAATAGTCTGTAATTATTTCAGAACAATAAAACCCGATATCACAAGGAGAGCCTCGTGAAAACGAGAGGATAGTTTGCGACCGAGCACAACTCCTTCAGGAAGCTACACAAGGCATAAACAAAAACTCTGACAAATAAGCTATGTTTTCAACAATGACAAAACACCTCAAACCCTACTTGACATGTTCGAGCCAGAATATGAAAGTGGACAGCACAACAAACTGCAACAGCAAAAACTTATTTGAATTTCTCCTCCATAGAAAGGACGCAACAGTCCAAACTCTTTCTGTATATTCTGGGCTATCTGTTTAGGATATTATGTATATTTCAGTAAAGGTTGGAACAAAATCAACCAAGAAAACAGCTGTGCTTCAAACTGAATACCTTCATAACATACCTTCATATTTTATTCCTTGAAAAATAGTAATTCTAAATCAAATATAACATTGCATTACTCAAAATAACTATTTTATAGCACAATATGGTATTAACGTCTTTATACACAATGCCATGTACAACACACAATAACACTAGTATTCTGCTAATTGCTTTTGTTTGTTCAAATAGGTTTGTGTGCAACTACTGCAAATAAGTCACTATGATGAAGCACTTCGTGTCTCAGCATAATGATGTTGTCCTGATTGAGTCTACTGTAATGACTATAGTTTTTGTTTTAACATTTCATGTGAAATTTAAAACATTTGCATTGCTAGAATCACTGTTTGAGTGAGAAATATTTATTGTGATCAAATGTTTTTTCTGCTTCTTGATGAGCTTTGATACCGTAAAGTTGCATTGAAATGAGCCATTTTGTTTCTTTTCTGGATCTCTTTACTGAATTCATCTTTGTTTTCTGACTGAACACTACTTCACATTAAACTTTTCAAGCCATTCAGGGACATTATGACTTTTTTTAAAATCATTATGTAAATGCCGCATGTTTTAATGTCTATTATTGTGGTTGTGTGAGGGGCAGTTATGAAGAGAACACTGAAGATTGTTGTGATCTAGAGTACTTTTACAAATAGAGTTTGATATTATGACAGAAGATGTGCAGGACTAAGCACATTAATAATTAAGACCTGGTGAGAGAGAGGACCTAGAGTTACTGAGAGGTGAGCCTGTGCTCACATTGGGTCACGATTGTGGCAAATTCTGTTTGAAAATTGAGCAGAATCAAACTGAAAAGACTTTCAGCATCAGCTGATTAAATTAGGTGTAACCCTTTTGCCACCCGGCTCGTTGTAGCAAGGAAGTGCCTAGTTAGTATATAACCTCCAAGCTCAAATAACACAAATTGGCAAAGGGACACCTCAATGTATAACAACTTTGTCTAGGGTTCAGTATGGTTCTCACCCTTAAAACACCAATTATAGAGACCCCAGAAATGACATTAAATTAAATAACCAGAATATGTACATCCGGTACCTGTAATTTACGGATAATTTTTCCAGAGACTGTTTCACAGTATATAAATGAAAAACACACACCAAATGCAGTTTAACTTTGTGTATTAACTAAAAGAAACAAAACACAGGTCACAGTTTTATGCAACAAATACAACAAATACTATTGTAACCCCACAGTCTACCTGGGTGCACCCTTAGAGTTTTATGCTAGCATGTGTTGGCGCGCGTTGGAGCTCGTGTTCATTCAGATCCACTGCAATAGTCCTACCAGTGTGATGAAACTCCTCCTTACCAGCCCAAGAACACAGACCGTCCACACCCGGAAACCCCACGGCCCTGTCGTCGTCCCACGCAGGCGAGTGTTGAGTCTCCGGCAGCAATACCGTCAGCTTCCCTATGGCTCTCGGCGGAACAATCCACACATACGCCACAGCGCTAGCTCCAGTGCTAGCTCGGCTCAACCCTCTAAGCCTCGTCTTCTGGCAACGCAGTTTCACTCACTCCCTCGCAGCGTGGGTCCCTCCCGAACTCTTCCGCGGTCCGTCGGAGCAGGAACAATTGTCCAGCTTTGCTGAGGCTAGAGTCTGAGCACTTTCTTTTTGTTTTGAATACTTCACAGCCACACACCCTCGGCGGCCATTGCCGTGCCCTCTTTTTTTTCGTTCTCCTCCCCCCCCACTCGCGCATCTTCTCTCTTCTTCTTCTCCTTTTTTTTCCGGTTGTCATCTATTGTCTTCTTTTATGGTACACTCAAAACATTGCAAAACAATAGAACATGAGATACGAACAATAAATTCCTCACTGCATCACCACAAAGACAAAACACACTCTGGCAAACAAAAGAAAACAATACTCTGATTCCGTGAACAATCAGATTACTACACTGGTTATTGATGTGATAGGTTGTAAAATCAGATTTTAGAACCTGTCACACATCAGCACAGCGGGGAATATGTATGATTTGACTCTGCCTTCCTCAGTGTGCAATACTCCTTTACTTTCATGTGGAAGTCCTTTTAACTTTTCAGCAACTGTGGTTGTCAGTCAACTTACTAGCAACAAGACATTGCTGACCCCATGGCCACAGAAAACCTCAAATCAAATCAATGCTATATTTATAAGGTATAAATGTATTTAAATTGGATTAAAATAAAATAATGGCTAAATGATTATGAATGAACAGTGACAGTAAAGAGCTAATGTATAAACCTTTTAGATGTTCTGTTTGTGAAACATAAATTTTATTAGTGTTAAATTTGCATCATGCATTGTGCTTTTATTGGGGTGAGAACCGAAACATTGGCTTCTTCTGAATGAAAAATTGCCTAATGCAACTATTAGTTCACTGTACAGATTTTTCTCACAAAACCTGATGAAATGTTTGACAATAGTTAACTAAGGCAATTCCAAAAGCTCGCTGATGACAAACAATGACACACTTGAAGTATATTATCT